GCTCGTCCCGACACCGCAGCTACTGGAGCAACCACCGCCGCGCCTCACCCCGCCCCCTTCCGACCACCGCGCAAAGCCTGCCGGGAACCTGAGTCCAGCAGCCTTCCCACCCGCTGCTACCGCAGCCTGGGGCACGGGGGGAGCAGGGCCTCCCGGCGGCGGCCAATGGGGGAGAACCACGAGCCCTCCAAAACAAGGGGCGGGGAGAGGGGCCCTGTCAGCAGGTTCGGAAAGGGGCGGGGCTTCCCTCTGGACCCGCTCCCGCCTCCTAGGGCTGGCGCGTGACTGGGGTGTCACTCGCGCTCCGCCCTTCTCCCCAAAGGGTCCCCAGGGGGGCGGGGCTTTTCCTCCCTCCATACACGTATATGCCCACACACATGTAGGCACACCTACGTGTATGCGGACGTACACAGGCTTGTGTGCTTCCACCCAAATCTTGGCCAGTAGCCATGAGAGCACGCCCCGAAAGTAGGGGTGTTTTTTTTGCGGGGGGGGTGTCATATAAACCCCCAGCACGCCCACGCTTGTCTGCCAGGTCTCATGAGGAGCCCTGAGGACAATGACTAAAGCTGGCAGCCAGTGTCGGAGCGAGCTTGGGTGCTTAGCCCTCCTTCTACCCTGGACTCCATAATACCTCTGGTGTCGGTACCCCACCCCCTTACCTGCTACTCTTTAGTGATGCAAAACAAGAGCTGAGGACCTGCACCAACAGAGCTACAACCTATACCCCTGAAGCAAGACAGGAGGAATTGGATTGCAGTTTCCCTCAGGTGCCCAGTTGACCTGGGGTACCCATGCCAGGGCCCTCCCTGCAGCATGGCTCCAGCTATTCATGGAGTACAACCTCAACAACCCACTCTGCAGAGGTGTCGTGAGACTCCGATACTGCCTGTCTGTTCCAGCTCTTGCAGAGCCCCAGGTCCCCGCGCTCTGGAAGAAGAAAGCGTATCTAAAGATCAGCTGTCTTTCACTCTGAGCTGCTACTGCTACATCCTGGAAAAGAGGTGCAAAAGTTGCTTTGAAATCTTCCTTTTGAAATGTGGTTAAGATTCAGTAACTAACTGGGACTTTTCCCTTTCACATTAAATGGCTGCCGTTTTTCTCCTCTCTCTCAAGCTCATTTGACTGGAGGCATTTTTAGAAATATCACCACAGCATGTTCTTTGTAAGTGCAGGGCATACTGGGAGCTGGGAAACGTGCTTCAACTTTGCCTGGCTTTCTTGGCTGCCCTGGTTCCCCTGCATTACCTGTGGCAGGTTCAGGTGTTGTGTCACGGTTGACTGTAGGCTTATGTAGAGGTTAGATGATGGATTGTATAGGATGCTTTGGATAGGGCTGATCTTTCCTCAGGTCGGGGCTTGGACCAGGTACCCTCTGGAGGTCCCACTGCTCCCTGATCCTTCTCACCTATCCCCAGGAGTGAATCTGCGGTTTTCAGAAAGCGGGTGCAGGCACTAAGATGCATCATCACATATATTGCAGCACATATTTTTCTGCAGTTAAAAGGAAACTAGAAGCTTTACTAATCGGCTAGGGGCCTACAGCTGCATTATTCAGCTTGAGATGGAAGGGAAACATATAATTTTACTGGAATAAATTAAAAACAATCTGAAGGGCTGTGAAGTCGCAGGTTCATAACCAGGAGCAGCTACCAGATCACAGAATGGTAGAACAAGGGCTAGCTGGACTGGTGGAACATCAAGACCAATTTTTAAAAAGACAGGGTTGTTAACACCTGTGGAATGGAAAGCTCTGAAGACATCAGGTATATGATAATGAGCCATGAAGTCAAGTGACTCCCTCAGTACTGCCTGACTAGAAATGCTGCTGTCACTGCCAGGCAGTTATGGCATTTATGCACATACCTTTTTGTCCTGAAACAAGCCAGAGATCTGCCGCTTTGGAGCAGACTTGATTAATCAAGTCTCTTCTGCACGCAAGCTGACATGTACTGCACTGTGCCGAGTGCACTTGTGTAAGTGGTGAAATGTGCATCAGCGCGCAGAAAATGGCAGTAGTGCACTTTTGAACTAAAACACCTCAGAGGTGTTTTAGTTCAAAAGTGTACCACTATTTTCTTCGCGCTGACGCACATTTTGCCACTTATACAATTAAAAGCATTGCAGCTCTGGGCGCTTTTCAAAGTGCCCAGCACTGCGGCACTTAAACATGCAAAAATACCCTTAGTTTTAAACTATGGGTGGAGCAGGAATCGGGGAGGGAGAATGCAAGTGCACCACTGTACCCCTCCCCTGAATTTACTCCTGCCTGTCCCCTCTTGGAGTGTCCTAGTTATGATGGTCCAGGAAATATCTAAGAGGGGCTTTTCTGGGGATAACATGATTTATTGGAATGCCCAAATATTCAGTTGGTCTAATAAAAGATACTGTCAAAGAAAAAATAACTTTTTTCTTGAGAAGCTTTCAGTCATGTCTGCATGTTACACTGATTGCACAGCTGCCTCTTTCATTTTCTGGCATATTTGTCAAAGCTTCAACACATACAGCAATTGCCACAGGTGTGTCACTTCTTACTTTTTGCTTCTTTTCAGAAGGCCAAAGAGCTGGCTTAGAAACAAGCATTAGTCCAAGGTAACTGCTTGTAATTCACTCCCAATTCTGCAAGAGGTCATCTTGTTAATGAGCACAGGACTACTGTTGTGCTGATTTCCAAGAGCTGATTATGAGCCCACAGTGTGCTTTTGTTGCAAAAAAAAAAAAAAA